GAAAAAATAAGAGAACATTGACAGAAGTTTGAATAGAAAACTAATAAAAATCAGTCCCGTAAAAGGAAAAAATCTTTAATTATGAAAGTCGACTATATTTTGCTTATAGGAAGATTTCACTAAGAATATCAATCTGTTTAGGTATCAGACTTCTACAAGAAGTTGAATTCCTATAAATTGTAACTTGGAGAGAGCTTCTAGTCATCATGCAATGCAATGATTGTGTCTCTGATAGGCTTGTGAAGTAAAGTAGATGGAAAGGGCATGGGACTAAGGCTTGATGGGGGCTTGGGGGTTAGGACGACAATTTTTAACAACGTCATATCTGCATTGGAAGTAAACAAGAACCTTACGGTGAATTGAACACAAGGTAATTAACCAAAAACATTACAAATTCAAACATGGAACAATCTATTTATTACATGTTCAATGCAACATCCCAAATCACACGTGTAGTACAATGAAAAATGTCTTGATATGCATTTGTGGTTCAATGACTCTAAAAAACAGTACCATTTTCTAGTATTTTGGGTGGGATGCCCATAGTGTCATAAAACAATACTAGAATCGCCCATGGTCATCATGTTGCCGATATAGTAGCATGTTGGATAAAAAGATGCAAGGTCCAAACTACATTATCACTTTTGGGTGATTTCCTTCATTACGGAGCTTTAGCAAAAGAAAATTCTTGCCTTGACTCTTGGATTGAAGCTTATAGAATGCATAAAAATGCAAGTACTTTTGCATTCTTTTATATACAGGAGTATATAACTCTTTATCATTATATTCAATCACAAGAACCTCAACTTAAAGAAAATAATTAGCTTTCATAGATTACTTATCTTCCTAGCAAGGCAACAACAATCAAAATTTTTGAAACAAAAAATTCCTAATCATGACAACAAGCGCCAAGAAGCCCAAAGTGATATTTTTCACTCTCCTCTCTTTCCTCTACATCTCAATTGAAACTCTGTTTCCCAATTTAAGTTCCTCAGCTGGGATAGGCAAGCAGCATAAACAAATATTTGCCTCTTTTTAGGTTGATGACATATTTGGCTCCTGAAATTTACTTGGCTAAAGTTTAGACAGAATAGAATTTATGAATAAAGTGTGTGCATAAGCCAAAAATTCATGTAGTTTCTTCTTTTATTGAAAAAAATAACCTAGAATTTCATTCTTGGGTCAAATCTGTCACAATAACAATGTACAGTTTTGGGTACAGGATGTGGCATTGTTACGTAATACTAACTTGTTGTGTCCAACTAAATCGGTTTCGTCCATTTGATTATGCCACGCCTTCTTCACTTGAAGCTCAAGGGTTCAAGCCACACTTACCATTTATATTATCTATTTTTTTAAAATCCAAACAGCAATGAAATGTGTTCCTTCTCTGTTTTATCTCCATTAACATAAGATATTTAAGAAATGCCAACAGAGCAACTCTCATGTATGCAAATGCTAGCGCTTTAACTTAAATCTCAATCAAATGGCATATGGCAGAAGTCATACAATCCCATGCCATATATTCGCATTAACCGTTCTGATATACACAGCAACTACTGGCATATGCCTAAAAAAGAGAACTAATAATATATTTAAATGAAAACAATATATCCACAACAGGGAAACTGGTTCTTCCTCATTGTTCCACAAGCATTAAAAGAAAACAGTGGAATATTCGAAGAGGAAAAAAATACCTGAGAACCAGAACCAATGCATGGATCACTTCCTCTCAAGCCATCTACAAGCTCAGTATATAATTGTTCTTTAGGAGTTGGTGCAGGAGCACCAAAATATGAGAATTCTACAACATCTACATCACACCATACGCCTCCAGGACCCTGCCCGTTGCATAGTATTTTAGAGCGCTATTCAAGTAGAACAATTTATATGATAAAGATTCATAGATAGAAAAATGGATAGATGGGTAGACAAAGATAGAGAACAAAGAAAAAAACTTGAAATCATGAAGAAACAATTCGTCATCTAGTTTCTTCTTCCTGAACAATGGAACCTTCAGAATTAAATAATATTGAAGAAGCTATGTCCACCCACTCCAACAGGTTCGGTTCTTAAGGAAGTAATTTCTTTAGTGCATGTTTGAATCAATTATAATTCCATTCCTACCTTAGTCCTTCACTTCTTACTAAAGGAGTCTTCAAATATAGGACTAGATTATATCTTATCTGGAACATTTTCTCTCCCACTTTGAATCTCTTAGCAGTGAATTTCCATTTTCTACCAAAGAAGTAGGATTCAAGATCCACAAATTTAAAATAAGATTGGAGGTGGTTTGGTCATGAAGTTAGCATGCAATTCTACAAATCAACAGTTATCTAGTAATTAAGTGAGAATAAGATATAAATTGAAGAGGAAATTGAACCAAACGGGACCTTGACCAGAATTATGTTTGTGCATGATTTTACACACTTAAAATGAGGGGAAAGAAGTTGCAGGGCAATAGACATTTTAGTTAAAAGACTAGAATCAAATTATAGCCAAAAGAACCAAAGTATCTTACTTCAAGGGCAGCAGGTAGACACTGTACGTGGCTGAGCCACTGCCTATGAACTTTCCGTGCAACAAAAACTAGAATAGCTGGTATATCTGTCAAAACACCACGCCGAATCCGGAAACCAATAGCTGTACCGAGACTAAAGCGTCGCAATATTTTACTATGAAATGCCCTGATGGTCATCAGCTCAAGCAAAGTGGTAGCTTGCTGCCCAGTTGGCAACTGCCCAAGAGTTTCTGGTAGGACTCCCTTCTGAAGGTTTCCAAAATAGTTTGCCCTATCTTCTGCAGCATCATTTAATCTACTTGAAGTAGGCCAAGAGAAGTAAGCAGCATTGCTCTCAGAATGCTGAGCACCTGAGGTAAATGGTTGAAGTGATGATGGACTAGAGAAAGGCATATAAGGAGGATTGCAGTAATTTCTTTCCAAATCCAAAGCAGATTCCTCGGATTGTATTGATCCAGAATGATGAAATCTTAAATCCAATCTGGTCCTGTCCATCTTCCAATCCTCCTACAAGATATTTAATTAATGCTTTTAAAAGCAGAA